CCTCCCTGTCTCTACTCTGCGTCTGGTCCAGGAAACTGCTGGGAGTATACAGGTGCAAATATGATTTGGGCCTATTCCTCTTATGAAGTTGACCTCCTGTAATTGACACAGACACACTGGCAATTTGATTAGCTCTTCCTGCTGCTTGAGGGCATCTGACCATAGCAACCTCGTCGTCTGTTTAATGTACATAGCTCCACCTATTGGTGAAGTCAGGGAACAGCAGAGAAAGAGCAGAGTCTTAGGTTGAGTTCGTTGCCTCACATTGTGCTTTGGAAATAAGCCACTGGGCCAAATCCAAGAATACCTGACAAGCTAGACTAGGGCGGAACCACACTCTTTTAACAATAAACCTATAATTGTGCAAGATGAGTAATGCAAAAGCAACTGGGGTAATAATTTTTCTCCTTGTTTAAGTTATTGGTTATCAGATATGTTGTACTTTTTAATCCATTTTCATCTCCTGCACTTACACCCTTCTCCTGATAGCTGTAGATTTGTGTGCATGGGAATGTGCTGTATGTGAATGTCTGCTTGTATGTAGTGTATCTGTTTGTGTGTGTGTAAGCAAACAAGTGGCACTCATTGCAGATTAAGAATAAGAATAAGAATAACTTTATTAATCCCCGAAGGGAAATTCAATTGTCGGTTGTCTCACAAAATATGTTTCTAACAGTTATCTACTATTTACACAAGATCAATTAAGTTAACCTCCAAATAGTATCACAAAGATTATGGTCAGGACCTACTTTTTATGTGAAATTTTATGTAACTTTAGCTGTTATTTTACACCTTATAAAATGATGATTGCTTTTTTTTTTTACATAAAATAATTTCCATGCATATTGCAGTGTGGATCCGCCACCATCAGAGTCCATGTGCCACCAAAAGCAGTTTATCCCCTTACTTCAAAGGGAACTGATAAGAACCTCTTGAAACACTTGAGATAAGCTCGCTGCCTTAAGTGCACTGACACTGTCACCAAACAGGCAAGGCCGAGCGGGAATAAAAAGTCCAAAAAAATGGGGAAAATACACACACACTTGCACATACACACACACACTTGTACAGACACACACAGTTAAGTAGCAACGCCATTCATGGAGCCAAAAAAGAATGTGCACAATTGCAAAACAGTGTGTCACATGAAGTGAAAATTACTGTACATCAATTCATCAAGATAGATCATTTAAGCTGTCAAACATCAAAGGCTCTCCGATCACAGCTCATTCTTAAGACACCAATAGCCTCATTTATCATATTTGTTTGAGCAACGAGACATAGAGTGAAGCAAGAAGAGGAAGAGAGCAAAGAAAAGTGCTGAGAGCTAAGAGAAGAAATTAAACAAGGTTTACATAAGAGGAATAAAAGCAGAGATTTTTTTTTATCGTGTGAAATGAAAACAATTAAATCAACTTTGAAGAATAAACAGTTAAAAGTGATTTAAAAAAAAAGGGTGTTATTAAAATATGTGTACTTGGGTCATACAAGAGATAATTAATAGCAAGCAGTAACAGATCTCCTCAAACTAAACCGTCTGTGGGAGGACACCACCTGGACTGAGCCCTTCAGCCCCCGAGGCTAACCAAGCTGAGCGTGCTGCTTCAGAGCTTCACACACCTGCATGCACCAAAAAATGTGCACAAAACACTATCTCTCCCTTCATCGTATTATTTTTTATTATCTGCATCGCTCCCGCTCACCTTTATCTGACCTCGCCGGGCTTCCAGCACATCACTCACTTTAGGGCAGATTTATTATCATTCATCATTTTATTAGCATGGGAAACATTTTGGGGGGAGATTGTATTGCTAATTTCTGTCCAAATAATGCTTGTAAGAGGACATCTTTAAAGTTTATGCGGCTCGTGATCAAATGGTTTTTATATATCCCCAGGCTCTTGTATTCTCCAAATTGCTTCAATAAATAACTTGTAAGTCTAATTATGCAGCAATTAATTGCAGCCAACATGGAATGCTCATCAATCTTGTAACTTGAAAAAGTCTTTTCCAGCACAGCCTGGCAGTCCAAATAAGAAATTTGATTAGATTTTGCAAGCACGTATGGGACTGCGTGTGTGCCAGTTTGTCATTATGTGTGCATGTGAGTGTGACTGCCTATGTGTGTGTGTGAACATGTATGTGTGCCCGTGGAGGTTACGGCCAGATCACAGAAGAGAGAGCTCCATCCCAGCAGCTCTCTCTGCAGTCTGCTCTCTCTGCCGTCTCGTCCAGTTGCTATGGCAGCAGCAGTGAAGGCTGTATCCATGGCCAAAGGAGGAAGCTGGCATCCCCCAATAACAGACCTTCCACCCCCCTTCTCTCCCTCTGTCTTCCCCCTCTCCGCCAGGCTCCTGACCCGCTGGTGAACCTGCCTGGGGGTCGGAGGTCAATGGCTCAGAGCTGCCGAGTGACAGTGAGGGATGATGAGGGAGAGAATGAGAAAGAGAGGAGTTACACCACACAGATGGGGAGGAGAGATGAGAAAATGAAAAGATGAGACCAAATTTGATTACTATCAAGTGGTGGGGGTGCCAGTGACCACGGCACATTCGAGAAAATGGCTGCTGTTTTTGCCCGGCGACTTTTAAAATGGAGGGGAAATGTTGACTTTTTAAAATCTTTCATTATATTATTTCTCAATTGTGTGTTTTCTTTTGTGTCTCTGTGTGTGTGTCTTTGTGCTTAAACTCAGTCGCTGAAGTGACAAGAAACAAGAGAAGACTGGCAGTGATTCTGACTCTGATTGTGTGTTTGTGTTTGTGTGATAAGGCCAGAGGAGAAAGTGAGCAAAGGTATGTTTAAAGGGAGTCATCTGTGTGTTTAATATGTAGTCAAAGGAGTTGATATGGTGTAAAGAGGGAGGGGGGGTCAAGTGAGTTGACCCCTGACCTCTCTGCCTCTGAGGGGTCAGACGGTCTTCAGTTAGCTCAGAACATGACTTCCTCACCTTGAAGATTTGTGTGTTTTCATACAGAGAGGCCTTTACAAATATGCAGTTGTTCATCAGTATTTGTCAGACCCAATTTCCCAAAGCAGAGATCCAACATTCTTCGACTTCTTCTCCACTCCACTAGGAAACCTGGCTTTGATTAAGCTGATTTTACCTGAATGTAGAATCATGTCATGTTTGAGTCTTTTTTAGCATGTACGGATGGTAAAGAAAGAAAAGAAATGAATGTTGAGTGTTGAAGGAAAGACCTCGTCCCACAATACCCCCCACTGACACTCACCTTCTCCACCTACTATGTTACAACCTGTGAGAAAACATTATCATCGACGCTGATGCCAATCTGAACCAGCAAATCTGCCTGAGATAGCGCCTCAGTTCCAGAGAAACTCACAGAGCCTCTTTTGAATACAGTACTGAGGAGAACAGTACCCCCTAGTGACTAATGTCTGCAACTGAACCCTAAAACTCCTGGGTATGAGTGAATGTCAACAGCCACACTTACAATCAATCTCCATCCATAGCACTCTGTGGTCCCTACAGTAGCTATGGAAGAGAGGCTTGAACAGTCTGCCTGTTTTATCTGAAACACTCAATATGTCAGCGCCATCAGATGTAAACATGTAATTTTCCTCCATTTTTTGTCATCATCATTGTTGGCTGGTATGGAGAGTACAGGGGAGAGTCAGTTAGGACTGTCAGCCACGGTAGCAGAGAGGGCAGAGCACAGAGTGTGTGTATATATGTTTGCTTTCTGCACACACAAACGCTCACGGCGTTATGCAGACACCTCACGCAGTCCCTCACTCTCTCCGCTGCATTCTTTGTGGGTTTTTTTTTTCTGCATGTTCTCCAGATGTCGTGCCCTCTTCGTCACCCCGTTCCTGCGCCGTGCTCCTCTCCTCTCCGCTCCACTCGGTCCCCCCCACCCTGCCTGGAGACTTGTCACAGCACCTAACCGCATCAGGAGCGCTGTTAGATTGGATGTACACGATCTGTCCATCCATCAATAGAGAGGGAGGAGAGAGAGGAAGAGCGGGAGAAGGACAGAGACGGTTGTCTGTTGTTGAAAAGTGAGATAGAGATGCAAAGAGATGCCAGGATGAGGAGAAAAAATGAGTTGGAGAGTCATTAGAAACAACAAAGTGAGGATATAATTCAGTCATATATGTTAAGAAACATATTTGAGGTGATTTTTTCCTGCAGTATCGCATGTTTATGACAAGGCTAATGTAGGAAGTAACTGTATCTATCTTTTCATTGATAGTGACCCCTGGATCCCTGTTTCTCACTGTCATTATTGACCGGTAATTAATACTTCTGCTGTCAGTCCCTCCCTCTTAAAAAGGACCATTTCTAGTCTCCATCTTTGTCTCATCCAGAAGGTGTGGCTGCTGATGCTGAATCACCTCAACTTCATCTTTCTCCCCTGATTCCATGCATGAGGAGAAACCGGCGTGTTACGGCCCCTGTAAAATGTGCAAACCTCTGAGAGCTGAGCGAACACTTGGCTCCACGCGTTTTTATCTGCAGGTGTTCTCGTCTGGCATGATTGTTCCCGGTTGCAGACTTTGTTAATCAAGCAAGGTCAAATTCTGGGCTGGATGATGAGCTTAAAATTTGTGACGTTTGTTTCATGTGATCAAATATTTCATTCAAGATTCTTTTTTTACTGATGTGTAAATAAACTAAATTAAACTCTAGACTGCCACGGTGTTTCACAACCGTGACAATATTTCTGCAGGAGCTGCAGTGTCTTTGTGAGAGTATGGTTTCAAACGACTGCCATTTTTTTCTTCAACTGTCAAATAGATACATGCAAAACCCAACATCAGAGTGCAATAAAAACAGTTACACTCCCAACATTCATACTAGTGGGATTGCTTCTTATAGCCACAGACAGTGTACTGTCAGAGATTTGTTTGATGTTGCATATACAGTATCAGAGAGGGTTCAATCTGAGGTTGCCCTAACACTCCATCGTTTAATCCGGAGATATCCATCTCTGTCTGCACCTCAATCTTTTCCATACATTTCCAGGTGAAACGTTATCACCAGAACATCTGTACATCTCCTCCTTCTCCCTTCTGTCTCCATCTTGCTCTCCTTATTCTCTCAATCTCCCTCCCCTTTTCTCTCCTCTTCCCGTTTTCCTCCCACCTGCCCTCTCCTTTCTCTCCTTTCTTTTTCATTCTGACTCCTTGAACGATTCTCTCTCCCTCCATGCCTCTCTCCCTTCCTCTCTGTCCCCTCTCCTCTCCTTTCTCTCTCCTCTCTCTCTCTCTCTCTCTCTCTGCTGCGCTCTGATGAATTGCCTTCCCCTCCCGGTGAACTCGACCGATAATCCTGGGGAAGCAGTAAAAGATCATCGATCAACCCTGCAGACAGGCCCACAAGCCACAGCACAGGAACAACACGCTAACAACAAGGCTCTGCACTTGGCTCTCAGTGCATGTCGTACATACAGTATATGTGTACGTATGCAGGAGCGTGCATGTTCTCGGTTGCATGGAGATGTGTCTGCAAACATACAAGTGTGTTGTAGTTTTTGTACATGAATACATGAAGATAACTTACATCATTGCCCACTTTGACAGCAGAAATTCCCAGTAAAAGCAGATTAGTATTAAGCCTTTGTTAACCCACATATATGAGCCACTCTCACATACAAAATGCACAAGTTACAGACTGTGAGTATATCACTGCAGGTTGTGTATCATGCACTATGTTTAGCCGACATGCTTTGCATAGCCTGCATAGAAGAGTTCCCTCTGTGCTCATCCTGCTGCTTCACGTGATCCACCCCCTGCTGAGTGTCATCTACTCAGAATCTGTGCATATACATGCATGTGTATGTGTGTGTGTACATGCGCTTGTCGCTTCAGTGTGTCCGCCTGTCAGCATGTGTGTATAGTATTTGTATATGTATGCGGCACACACAGAAGGCCATAAATCATGTGCCGTTCTCCGGGCCCATCCTGAAGGAGAAGGGAAGAGAATGCACATGATCTTAGGCAAAGCTTGATGGCTCTGAGATTGACCAATTGATTGATTGAAACAATTAATTTTGCACCCAGCTTTTATGGCTGAGAAGCCAAGCAATCATCAGTTTGCAACAACCAAGTGAAGACAGCTGGATTGTTTTATAATTTCCACTGGAACATAGCAAAGGACCGGCGACTGCTCCAGGCTTAGGATAATGATAAGCGACCAGCTATTGGTTTAAGTTATATGACATGATATGATAGCCTAGACTGTGCAAAGTCATGTATGAAGTCCATTTGTCTTCATCCCCTAGTTTGCACACAAAAATAAGCCAGCTTGAGCGATTCAAGCATGAGGCAGCCAATGGTCATTATTCTATCCCCTTAAATATGACAAATGGACCACTGCTTCTATTGAAACCCATTCTTTACATGCCATATTACAACACACTGCTGTTCGCCAGTGTGGAGGAGCTTGACCATAAAAAGCCAGTTGCTTAGAGTATAAATCTCCACTTTGACAACCGGTGAACTGCTTTTCATTGAGGAGACTCACCATTCATACTTTATCTCCCTTTTTATTTTGGAACTGTTTGTGAGTTGTCCTTCAGTGCCTTTCTCTCTGCTGCCTTTGTTCCTAATGTACTGGCAAGGCTGACTTCATTAAGCCCTGTATGCGGCAAACACATTTATGTCCTATTTTGATTTTTCCTATTTCATTTCGCCGTGCTACACCACAGCACTGCCACCAAAGCGGAAAATAAAGTCCCTATCATGCTTGGAGCCATGTTCCTCTTTGTGAGCAAGGTGACACCTTGTGGCTAAAGCGGAGAACTGCAGGAGAGGCAAAAAAAACACAGCAAACACAAAAGAAGAACCAGCTGGCAGTCTGTACAATGCAACCTTTTCCAACTAGTGACTAGCCTGCAATTACACCAGCCATTTTCTACAAAGAGAGAATGAGCTCTGTGCTGAGCCAGAACAAGAGCAAGGCATGCACCCCACCCCACCAACCTATAAGAACACCTGCAACAGGTATCTGAGGTATTTCACAAGCATGAGAAGGTGTTTCAGGCCATGATTCTTCCAATACTTGGGGAATGACTTAATGTGAGGCGTGTGTGAGGCTACGTGTGTCCCTGTGTGTTTTCCTGACAGTGAAACGCCACCACGGACATTGACAGATCGCGGGGGAATGTTCAATTGCAGGTTGTTGCGTCCTGCTGTCATTGGGCTCATCTGTCACAGGGCAAGGCTAGCTGGGAGGCAGAAGGAGGCAGGAGCGAGGGGCGTCACTTCTTCCATAGATGATGATCACACCGGGGCTCCTGCCAAGCGGGCTGCTGGCCCTGTCTTGCTCCTGTGGTCCTTGGGAATTCTTCTCCTTCACAGTCAGTTCCCGGGCAGTAATATCACAGCTTTGATACCGGCAGACTGCAGCAGGCAGGCAGGGAGGGATTTTCCCACTTGAAAACACTACAGCTCTGTATCTCTATCACTCCATCTTTTGGCCGAGGTTCTGTGTTGACTGCAGAGAATCTAGGTTGAGATTAATTTGGCAGCTTGGAGTGTTATTTTGGCTGCATAACGAGACATCTCTCGCAGCAAATGCCACACACAGATCCTCTGTAATAGGGATGAGTCAATGCGAAGCCCTGCAGGAACAGAACTGATCTGACCGGCTTTCACTCACTCACTCACACCCTCTGACTGTGTGTGAGTTTGCCTTAACAGTCTTACACTCCAATAACCTTTCTGGTGTCTTTCTCACCTATTTCCTCCTCCTTGCTTTCTCCTTTGTTTCCTCTTCCTGTTAAGAAGAAGGCTGCTGTTGTCATTCTAGCAACAACCGAGGCTGCACTTTCACATGTGCACCCTCTAGAGTCAAAGATGGGAAGCGCTTTTGTTGTTACATGAGAAAAGATACAAACAGGAAGGCCAATTACAGCCCAGCAGTCATCTATCTGTCAACTGTTTGACAGGAACATAGCACAGTCAAATATATGGCTCCCCAATAAATCACAGCATCTCACTCTAACTAGCCTGTCTCGAGTGAGTAATTAGTAGTATCATGCAGAAGCATTTCGGCGTCCCAAAATACCATTAGATCATTTTACTTTTGATTTTCAGTCACTTTTCTCCAAAACCCACGCGCTCAAATAGCCAAATGTTCCTGAAAATTATATGCATAAAACTGATTTAGGAGGCACTCAGGAAATCGATCATGCAACAGAATCGTTTAATGTTTAAGGAAGGGCCTTGTGATTTGCGGCTTTTGAATCAGAGTTCATATTCCACATTTAAAGATTAAAAAGAGGACCTTGTATTTTCATAGTGAGCCCTAACCGCTTTGTGCACCCCCTTGCAGCAGTCCCACCCTGAGAGCTCCATTGCTATTGCAGATGCTTTATGACGGGCAATTTAGCTTCAGCTGCTATCTGAGCCATCTCAGGAATGGACGCGCTTAGAATCAAGTGCAATAAAGCAGAGAGGGAAGTGGAGAAAAAAGAAGGGGGAAAGAGAAAATAAAGAGGGACAACAAGCTCGTCTGGACAGCCCCCTCTGGACAAAAGGTTTGGGGGTGGGTAGAGTTTGCTGTGGACACACACACAAACACAAACACTAGTTTCCCAGGCGTTTGGCTAGACAAGGAAGAGGCCTACCTGTTTGTTTTCACAGGGGCTTCATAACAAGGCCAAGCGTGCAGGAGTGAATTTATCCACTGCTTGCTTTCCTGCATGTTAATATGATGTGTGCAAGCTGTTTATTTTAGTCCATATCCCTCTCTCTCTTTCTCTCTTTCTCTCTCTCTCTCTGTTTGCATATGAGAGTGTGTGCGAGAGACATTTGGTCCTCCACACCGGCCAGGCTTTGTTGAGTCTGCTGAGCCCCAGGAAATCTCCTGAGACGGGGAGACAGATTTACACCCTTCCCCCTGAGAGGGCTTTACAGCCTGGGACCCAGCAGAGCAAAGGAAGGGCCAAGAGCGCCAAGTGAAGAGCAGGGTGATGAGACAGAGAGGGAGAGGAGGAGAGAAAGGAGGTGGGGGGGATAAAGGGAGAGAGAGAGGAAGGATGAAATACGGTTGAGATTGGGAGAAAGGATGAGGAGGGTTGTGATATCGATGGAATGCAACATGGCCGCTATTTGCTCGCTACCCTTAGTCTCCACTCTGCTCGCATTCACTCTTTCTCTTTTACCCAGTGTTCTTGTTTTCAATTTATCCTTACTGCGTCCTCACACACACATGCATGGACACAAAGAGAGGCCATAAATCTGCCAGTAAGTGCTGCTGGGATAAAGACACCTCAGACAGGCCAATGCTGTGTTTGGAGAGAATGCAGATGTACCTGCCTCCAGCACATCACCCTCTGTCTCTCTGTCTTCTCTCTTCTCCCCTCCATTTTATCCTCTCCATCTCTCTCCAGAGCTTTCTGTCTCATGTTCTTAACCCCTTTCAACCTTAACTCGGCTCATCTCTTCTGCACTCTTCCACTCCCTTTTCCCCCTTCGGTCTCACTTTAAGGACTCGCACTCTCCCACTTTGAGGGGAACAAAATGCTCTAGCAGAGTTTCGTGCCATTGTTGTTGCTGAGACGAGGCCGAGCTAGCCGATGCACAATAGGGTAAAGAGGGGGGGGTGGGGAGGTGGCGCCTCACACAATTGACATCACCTTGTAGGGGGGGGAATATAGGTAACAAATACAGGGTTTATGCAACCTGTTTGCTTTCTGAGAGCCAGTATCCATCATCCAATGACAGCTTTAACTACCTGCTGAGTGATACCTGATGTATTCAGATGGGCCGCATTCACAGCTACCCACGTCTACATGATATGTCTGAGATAAAGACAGACAGGGACAAAAAGAACATGAAGAGTCCTGATGGGTTTCATGTTTGCTCATAATGCAGTACAGTGATAGCAGATGTAAGTATTGAGGGGGTCCATAAAGAATGCTTTTGTTCATCAGAGAGCATAATAACCATAACTATAAGCTAACGTTTCAACCCATCCGTATGAGCTCTGATGGCCCGCAGACCCACAAAACCCCACGCATGCTCTCTCATCATCATAACAAAGCATTAACGCCACTGCCTTGACATTATCACAACTATGCCTCACGAAAACAAGGCCCCAAACACTGGCACACATACCTAAACACCCCGAGTCAAACAGACGTGGCCTGTGTGAACTGATTTACAGCAAAGTAAACGATTTGAGCTGCACATCTCACTCCGACACCTAAACACCTGACAGGTCTCTCATAAATAAGGCTGACCAGCGACTCCCACATAATTTACACCTGGACTATCTCCTAAGCTAACATGTGACCGCTCTCCACTCAATATTTCAACTCGCAGAGCTCACCACTCGCTAAAAAAGA